GATACATAATACATATCAAATAAATAAAATAAATTATAAGAAAATACAAAAATACTGAAATAAGCTTAATCTTGACCCATAAAAAAATTTCACGACCCATGATTTGGGAAATGCTATTCTATAGTATGTTTTAGACACTATGTGTATAATCTAATAAAACCAATGATATTATTTACCTATCATAAACGTGATTTAATTACCATATAAAGTATTTCCTAGCCCTTCATCCAGACAACATAAAAAACACAATTACCATTATACCATTATATTTAATTAATCTTATGTGACTTGTAACTTGTATATATTAATATTAACGCCATTTTAATTTAAGATAAAATGTGAACCTTTATAAAGTTTTTGCAGCCAATAGACGCTGAGGCTTTAATAAATTATAACAATAATAATAAAAAAAATTTCCCCAAGTATGGAGTTTCCGTTTTCCGCCAAAACAAATAATATATTATTTTAGATATTTTTTGAGAACACATGAACAAAAACTTCATGATATTGACGTAATTATTTCGATATATGCGCCTCTGAGCCACACCTCGCATTGAATACTGAATAGTCTGTTTGTCATATTGAGATCACTAGTTCATACTTCATAGCCCATATAGGCGTAGTTCAGAGGTCGACAACCTTTTGAGACGGAAGAGTAAGTTACAATTTAGAAAATTTCCCAGTTTATAAAGAGCCACTAAAAATTTTCGTTTCAATATTATAGTATTTGCTTATATATAATATTTAATTTTCAATTTAAAATAAACGAACGGGGTGCCGCCATTGGGTGACTTCCCCCATCCTGTCAATCAAATCACATACAATTTTACTTATTGCAGTATAACATGTAAATACAGATTGTAATATATAAATTTTTGTTCAATAAAAAAAAAATAAACGACTTAACACGAAATCATATTTATTCATATAAAAACATACAAATATTTTTAGCATCAAACAATATTCAATATTTATAAAATAGAAATATATTGCTTTTGATAATAAAATCATTAATTTTGTGTATGGAACTGGAGAGCCGCCACACTTTAGATGGAAAGCTGCAGTTTGCGAGTGCCGACCCCTGTCGTATGGTGATCAAATATTTTGTGGGAGGGCTGAGGTGTCGTTTTCAGTTTGGTGTTTCGTAGGGGACTTCGCCAGTCCTTTCGCTGAATGTCAGAAGGCTATTTTATATTGAGATAAAAATGCAATTGTAATGTAATGAAATGCAAATTGCAATTGTTAGCGAGTGGTTTTTTTTCATTTTTATTATTGGCCGGTCAAAAAGTTTGCCCCTCTTCTCAAAAACTAAAATGGCTGGACCGATTTCAAAAATTATTTCATATAAATATATCATGAGAATGCTACATTATCCCCCCCCCCATGCTTATTTAAAAAAGGGAAATTAAAACCCGGAGAGGTGCTCAATGCTCAAACAGGGATTTTGAGATTTAAGATGGACATTTTTGTTTAGAGAAGAAATAATTAGTAGAAATTAGCATAGGCTAGAGTTCATCCGTAGCGGCTGCCTAGCTAATAACCAGCGCTACCTTAATAATGAACCGAAAAAAGCCCTAAACACCCAAGGTCATAGTTTTAAAGCCCCCCATACCCAACGAAATATTTATATAATATGATAAAAAGTCTGAATTATCTATTTACAATTAATAATCTAAGTAAATAGTTATTATAAATTTATAACGATACCCAAATAAAAGAATTTTTTTTTTAAACAAAAGTTGTAACCCTTCTAACTTAAAACTCGTTTAACCGGCGCCTTTGACACCCCTCCCCCCGTAGATATACGCCACTGTATATATTACTATAGTATATTATATTGGTATTATAATTTAGTATTGAGTATATATTGTACACAGAGCCGTGTTAAGGGGGGGCAAAGGGGGCAATTGCCCCCGGGCGCCATAGTTTTGTAAAAGTAAGGGGCGTCGTTATTTGAGCTTAATATGCTACTTGGAGCCCAAATTGTAGGGAAAGGGCTCGAATTACCCCGGGGCGCTGAATTGCTTGACACGGCTCTGATTGTACAATACACAATGTTTACTCAATGGTATTATTTACACACTACACAGATATAGTCATATACATTATAATATATAGGTATACATAGATTTAACTTAACCTACATATTTATCTGTATGTCTGAATGTATGATCTCATCGAGTAGAGTATTATAGGTCTCATTTAGTCGAGTACCTACAACTAATATCTGTGATAATTAACTGCGGCCATCGAACCACCTGGACACATTACAAGTGACACGGCTTTGTTTCAAATATTATATTATGCGATGCACTTAGTCAGTACTCACTGCCTATTGTATATTTAATATTTATACCTATCGCATTTTTTTGCTATAACCTACTGTCAGTCGTCATTTGTCAATACTCGTCATAGATATTCGACTCTCCTGCTTATTGCTCCGTGCATTTTCACTTTACTTTAGCACCTGTACAATATTGTTTACACGTATTTTGATTTCCATTTACTTAAACTCGGTTTTAGTCAAGAGGCTAGAATATATTATTAGGTCTACCGAATAAAGGTAACAGCAAGGTAAGCGATATAATTATTATAGTATAAGTAAAGGTAAGAGAGTCAGTCGCAGGCCGCAGCCTATTATATTATATACTACCGAGTAGGTACCTACCAAGTAGGTATAGGTACCTTATGGTGTTATTGCTACCTATTAAAGAAATTTATCTTACTATTGGTATAAATGTAATACAGTGAGTTGTACTAATTATTTTCAGAAAATATTGCTTTGAAAATGTCATTGTTTATATATTGTAGGTATGTATAAAGGGGCAATTGTAAACTCGGCCAGAGGAAAAAATATCTTCAAAAGGTCTATTGTAAACTCGGGCAGTTTTTTGGGGTAAAAATTATTTAGGTGTAAACTCTCGGTCAGTGGTTTTTACAGGTAAAAATGATCGATGTGCAAACTCGGCTCGAATAAAATATATGTATAATATTTTTGAGAACCATTTAGCACTACTCAGAGCCAAAGGTGAAAGGACCCTATGAGGAGGCGATTATCATTATCTATCCTCCAAAAATTATTTTCATTTTCATATTTTTATTCATAGCGTACCTACTACCTATATGAAGTTTAGTATATAAATGTAAAATTCACTAAAATTGAGTAAATATGTAAGTAAAATGTTTCAGCATTAAAAAATATAAGTAAAATGTATCCATGAAAAAGTGTAAAATATAAGTAAAAGTGCAGTAGTGTAATAATTAATAATGTATAGTTACATAATCTATATCTAATCTATATCTGTAAAATTGTTCCGATAAGATATAGAATATAAATACGTTATTTATTATTTTCAAATTAAATTATATCGTGCTTATTATATTTTATTGGTCAAAATAATTATCGGGCCAAGTTCACAACCAACATTTTTTTATTATTTTAAAATTCTGGGCCGAATTTACAATCGATCTATTTTATTAGGTACCTTATAAAATTTCCGGGCCGAGTTAACAACAAAAAAAGGTGACCGCGGGCCCAGTAGCCCCAGTTTACATTTGCCCTTATAAAGTATAATAATATACCCTCTTTAAATGTAAACCTTAAAAGTGGCTGCTTGTCACAATTATTACCTACTGTTTAAAAAAAAAATTTAAATGTCTTTAGCCTGAATACTATAGTGTTTGCTATTTTTAAAAGGTGTGCCTATGATAATATATTTCATAGTAAACTTACCACAATACAAAAAAAAAACGAAAGAATTTTTTTTAAAATTGCAATGTTGAAATTGTGACAATCATACCCTGTCTGATGGCCACCTGAACAGGTATTGGTTTAAGAAATTTTAAATTTGTATTTTTTTTTTTAAATTATTGTCGACAAAAAGTCTACATAATACTTACACAGTTTCATACGTACGTTTTTTATTATAAGAATTTAAACATATGGGGTGCCGCTAATGGATGACTTCCCCTTCCCGTCAATAAAATCTCATCAATTATTTTGCTTATTGTATAATAGTTGTAGAACATGTAAATTGTAAATATATAAAATTTTGTTTCAATAATAATAAAAAAAAGCATTTAAAGTTTAAATTTTACAAAATTCATCCAAATAATTTGCATATTATTTTGTAGTTTAAAAATTATAAAATACCTCTTTATTATATTTTCAAATGCGAAGTTTTCGTCAAAAATATTAATTCAATAAGCTGCAGTATTATTTTAATAGTAAAATAAATTACCTACATCATAATAATATCATAAAAAATACTTGGTGATATACCTAAGCTGATTTGCCCAGAAAAGTTTTTCGTATACACATTGATTTAATATTATTGAATTCAAATCAGTACATTCATACCAGTAATACTCTGCACATATATACTTAAGAGCACAGCGGTACCCAATTGCCTGCCATTTTTAAATTATAAACGGTTATATATTTACACTTTATATTGAATCATTTTTTTTTTTTACTTCGATACAGAACACTGCTTGAATAAATAAATAAGGTAATTTATTGTCACATATGCGATCTGCAGCATCAATTTAGGTACCTGCTATAAATAATAATTAATAAATCTTACCTACCTTTGTAGTTTGTATTATGAAATATTTGAAGTTTGACTACCTACATATAGCTATAACCCATTCAGTTCATCTTGTCACTGGCAACCGTTACATTTATTAAAGAAATAACGGTTTGTTTTCAATATAGGTTCATAATATAGTTATTGGAGCACAGTTTTTTTTTTAAATTCGAATTGGTTTCTGAGTGCTGAGAAGAATGGATGGGTTGTACTTGCTGTTACCATATATTTTTATTTTTACTGCTTAAGTATATGTGCTGTTAAGGTATGATCTATTAAAGTATGTAGACCAAACCAATAAGGTTGTAGAACATACAGATTTCACTAAAGGAGATAAAGTGCTTGTTACACAATGCCTGGTGATAAAATTATAAATTAGTACCTATTTAGTTGTTAACTATCTACTTTAATATGCCATTCCAACAGAAATCAAGTAAAATTCCAATGGATCCACAATGGCTCACGATGGATCCAATAAGAAAGTGTTCCCAATACTATCCAGATAAAATTGCTATGCTTGCTTTGTTACGGGATTGGAATATGGAGTTTTTACATCAAACATTAGTTGGTAATGTATTTAAGCCATATTAGAGTGTATCAAGCATAAATGTATAATTTATAATTAGTTCTTTTATATTTAGACCAATTCATCACCATAACAGTGTTAAAACTCATGAAAAAGGATGATATTGAATTGATAACAAATAAGTTTCCCCTTGGTGTCAAAATTTTATTCAATTATAATCTTCAAAAATGGCAAAAACAAAATCCAATCTAATTTTTATTTTTTTTTTAAACATTCCAGATATCTATAGAAAGGTTTGATCATAAAAATTAATTATATATTTAATTACCTACCTACTTAAAGCAATTAATTATAAAAATTAATATTATTATTTTTTGTTATTGCTTTCAAACACACTTATCTAGTACCCAATAATTATTGATTAAAAAAGGGTGGGGGGTTCTCATTTAAAAAATTGATGTTTGTATCGCCACAACTCACAAGACACTCCATAATAAGTAGGTAGGTGGTGCAAAAAATATCAGGAATTTGAAAACACAGTTTTTAGGTATAGGGGGTAAACATACATACAAATTCTAAGAATCAGAATTCGAACAAATGTAATATTAAGGGGAAAAAATGGGGTGAGCATGATTAAAGACATCACCAGTATAATATCAAACACAGTGTGTTTATTTTTTTAATTTTTTTATGCATTACATTCAAATATCGCGGGCTATGCTCGTAACGGGATAAATAAGTTATAAAATTACTTATTTTTAATTTTCAAAACTTAAAATTAACATTTAAAGTTCTTAAACTGCTTACACAGAGCCATATAGGTATGATCGTATATTCGTATGTTGTACGATATAACTTTTTATACAACATATTATATAAAAATGTATAAAGACATAAAGTACACCTAACAACCAGTTTACCAGTTACCTTACAATAGATTTTTAGTTAGTAATCATGATACTTGCTGAATGAAGAATATTACATTTAAAATTTATTTGTGGTGTAATAAGTAATGACTCACCAAATTGATTCCCCATGTTTGCTATACCAAATAAACTTTAAAGTCCCTTCACATACATCTCGTTTTCAAAAAGCCTTTCATATTCCTATTGCGCCAACACAAATTATTTACAAAATGAGCCTTTAAGGTCTAAGCTGTATTGTGTAACTCGCCAATGAGGATGGTGGTGGTTTGTTTTAATATTAATAGGTAATTTTGTTATTGTATTACATATAATGTTTATAATGTATTTAAAATGTCCAACTGATTACTATTAATATATGAATTGTTATTGAGTACCTACCTAATTGTAACCTGTATATTTGTAATAAATAATAAATATATAAATAAATACCTAATGCATTTTTTTTTTTACATTAAAGAATATATATTTTTTTCAAATATAGAAGCATTGCTAAATATCCTAAACTTAAACATTTAATGATTTTTAAACTATTTACATAAATATAACTTTGTCTTATAATTTATATACTATACTATTATAATTTGTAGTCATATCTGTGATAGGTAATTTACTATAGCACCTTCGGACCAGTAGGTATCACAGAGTAGATTAATTTATTCTGTGGCCGGATTGCCAGACCCCACTGGCCACTGTAGAAAGTACAAACTACACATTAGGTACCTACATCCAACATCATTGTGTACTTATAGTCCAATTATTGTAGTAGGTATTTATTTGTAATCAACCATTTATCCGTATTTGTCATCGACTCCCGTGCAGAACTGCTTTACTTTTCTATAATTATAATTATAAGTATTATATCATTGAATTCAAATTTAACGTCATCCATTATACAGTGACCCACTTGTAACCTACTGTACAATAGAGCGACTTTTTTAGATCACAACTTTGTATAAATTCAAACATATTTAAGTATAATTTTTATTTTCTAATTTAATAACAATGTAAAAATAACACTTTGTCCAAAAAAAAATAATTCATGTATAATAATAAATTAACAAAAATGAATTACTTTTGAATACTACATATTATTATTATATTGATCTTATTGTCTGAAACTATCAGAGCAAAACTTTGCTAAGAAATACAATATAACTGGATATAAAAAATAAAAATTACCACGAGGAATGACAAACCGCAATAATTACTATCCAGTATAAACTAAAAAATCATTTCTGTTTGTGTACTTTTTAATAAACCGTTTGCCTGAGCTTGTACTGTGAACGCTATTTCATCAAGTGCCAATATATGACCAAATGTATAATTCTTACTAAAAAATAATAGGTCGGTTAATATTCATCTGCACACAAAGCATTCATTATTATTATTTATCATCAAAATCCTCACAGGAAATAGTCAAGCAGTTTTCTTGCAATTCCAGTATTGTGACAGTCCCATTTTGTCCATATACTGTTAACACCTGCTTTCACGGGATAAGATTCTTTGGATACAGCAACCATGTCTTCTGTTTCAGTTTCCAGATTACGATAAGCCCGCGATATGAGATCTATTACTAGGCATCCAATCACTTGTCTTTTTTTTATATAGAAGTGAACCTGAAACATATATATATAAAATATATGTTACATTTATTAAAATATTACTAGGTACAACAAAATACATACTTTTTTAGTTGTGGGCAGAACAGAACATTCTGTATAACGTCCAAGTTCTTTATCAACATATAACATCACCTCTAAAGCTTTTGAACATAACAATTTAGTATCTGATCCAGAAATTACAACTATACGTTCTTCAATATCTTTAAAAATAACTTTTTCATTTTTTGAGCTCTAAAGTATACATTAATAAAATATTGTATTAGTTAATTATCAGTAATTGTATATTAGAAAAGGGGCAAATTTAATTAAACTAGGATACCTTATACTTAAAAATAACCTTGGCTTTATGGTATTTGTCATATTCCGCTTCATCTTCTGGTTCTCCTCTTGAATAATACAAGACCACATTCTTTGCACAAAAAACCACCAAACTTCTTTTGACCTACAAAAATCTGGAATTGAATATTATCCATAAATCTTCTTCCTTTCGCTGCGTACTCTTTTCTTCACTAGAACTAATAAATATCAAAATTCAATATGTATATATATAATTTATTAAGTTTTATTGCTTTGACTTCTAAGGTTATTATTATTACTTATTAGCTTGCAGATTATGTTATATGATTAGATTAGTATAAATAATTTAATAATATTTAACATGTTAACCGCCATATGCCTGCCGGCGGCCGTAAATGAATATAGTTTTATATTATTAACTTTTCCATGGCACTACAATAATGCACCAACAAAGGGCTATGGCGTAGCGCAAATCATTACAAATTTTTGGATGTAAAAAATATATTTTTTTATATTTTTAAACTTTTTTCAAATAAATAGTATATAATACAAATTTGGAATGACACTGAAAAATATACTTGGTGTACAGGTGATGTATAATAATGTGACCGCCGGCAGGCATATGGTGGTTAACGTGTTAAAACTATCATTTTTTGACAATGATTCAATTTGTATACAATTACCAAATAGTTCGACTAAGTAGAGGAGTTTCATTTATGAAAATCGGGAACAAATTAGTTTGAGAAGATTCAGTTATAAGAACTGAAGCATCAATAGCAGCAAATTCGTTTATGACCGTGTCATTGACATCAATTGAAGATTTTGATACTCTAGAAAAAATATACAGTATGATTTGTATTTTATTTTTAAACAACTTTTAAAGCTTACTCTTTTAGGTGACGAGCAACAAGACATTTTTCTTCATTAGCGTTCTCATTATGGTTATCATCCAACAATTCTAATTTATTTATATTTTGTCCATTTTCATCAATGTTGTTACCATTGAGTATTTTTGGACTATTTAAATTAGATTCATTGAGTTCAACTCCAGAACTATTACTATTTTCATCATTCAAATTTATAACTTTAAAGTTAAAGCCATTATCTTTTCTAAAAAAAAACCATAAATATTATTCAAAAATAACAAGTACTAAATTCAAAAAAAATCCTTACTTCTTATTTGTTGTATCATATTATGATTTATGAATCACTTTAGATTTGAAAAATGCTCTGTTATTGTCTTGTTCCAATAGGATACGTTTCAGTTTGTCTTGATGCATGTATTCTGTCCAAACATTTTTTTTCGAAGAAGATTGTTTAGGAGTTTTGTTTTTTTTAGTTAAATTAGTTTTTTAATCCTTTTTACATGATTTCATATCTATAGACTTCTTCTTAAACGGTAATATAACATCAGGAAACAAATTTATTTTTGTTTTTTGTTCTCGGCCGGTGGATCTATGTTTTTTTTCACTCGTTGACTTACTATCTTTAAATGGTTTTTCTTTTACCTTTAGATTATAATGTAAGCGGGTAACTCCTTCATCACCAAAATCTTCAGGTGTTATCTGTCAATAAACATTAGTACAATAAAAACACAATAATTAATATAATATGAATGTATTTATTCAATGATTTTGGTGAAAATTCAAAAATGAGTATACTTGAAGCAGTTGAAGCTCACTGGAGTAAAAAAAAAAATGACTTCCTAAAAAGTATTGAGTTATCAAAATCAAACGTGTGATTGTTTTTTGAATGCAGAATGGGAATTTTATTTGTTCAAGATGTCGAGAATTTAGAGTTTTATCATGGTTCGAGTTACCGAAAGTACACTGTATTTGAAAATACTCATAATTCATATAAATATTTAAATATTATAAAAAACTAACGGGAGAACACTGGTAATGTTTTTACCAATTCACTCTAAAATAAAAACTGACAACACATCATACCATTGAAATTTGAAACTTGCTAACAAAAATTTGCTTTGTTATACGTGTGTAAGACGGAGACACAGACAATACATTCGGTTGCCATATCCTATACAGGGTTACCATGATTAAAAATCACCCCTTATATACAAACTGCAATGCAAATGTATACAATAGGTAATATGGGGGGTGGGGTCCAATGAGCCTAAATCATAATTCTAGGTTGTTTTATTTTATTCATTTTGTGTATCTAGTATGTATTTTTAATGTTGAGACTCAGGAAATGTAAGGGAGGAGAGGTGGGAAATTAGGGAATTTTAATGGTTGAATAATATGTATTTTTGTGAAATCATTATGCCTGTGTACCTACCTATAAATTAAATATTTAGTAAATAAGTAATACACAATTTAAAATTCTTACCTTTTTATAATCATAAGAAGAACATGAAGCTTTCACTTCATAGTCAGCTTTGTTATTTTGAATTTTGTTTCAACTAAAGGTTTCATTTGATATGCAACTCCTTCGATATTTTTCAATTTCAATGGTGTTATGGTATTATGTTCAATTAGTTGAGAAGTTGAATATTCCACTGTGGAAATTGATGATGAACACAATTATTAATTCTTTGATTTAGAAATAAGACTTTCAAATTGTTCACTCGGAGTAGGACTTAATTCAGTTGGAGTCATATTAAAAGGTGTTTCAGGAAAAGCATGTTCAGGATCATACACTTTGGATGGAGAGATATTTTCATCGAAATTGTCTACACAAAATAATGTACATTTTCTGTTTGTTGTCAATGGTGACTGTTCAATTTTATGTAACTGAACCTGAAGAGACCTCGAAAGAGACTTACGAGGATTTACATAAGTAAACAATTTAACCTAAACTAAATAAAAATATTTGGAGGACTTGTGTACCTATTTTAGTATGTTGAAAACGATGGTGAAAGAATTTGAGTATTTGACTGTCATTCTTTATTTCAAAGTTAAAGCTATGGTTTAAGTTAGCTGTTTATGCCATACAGTATTCAATAACTATATTTGCCGTTTACATTTATACAAAGGACAATGGGTTTCAAGTTACAATACACAGCAGGTACATGTAACACAAACACAAAAAAAATTTTAAAAAGGGGACCCAGTAAAATAAAATCTCGAATTTTTAAATATTTTTATACCATAAATTTCCGAAATAATCATAGGGTAAAGGATATAGAATAATAATAATAATAATAGAGATTAAATACTGTAACACAATACCCATATTATGTTCACTTCCCACCTTTGTCCAAAATATACCTACTATAAACATTTAAACATTTAAATATAAACATTTAAACCTTAAAAGTATGTAATATTGTTACAAGTACTTACGTCCGATGTATTGGAATTTGAAGTCTGAAGATCGAACGCACTCCCCGTCACCAATTGTTTATTAAAAACGTGGATTATGGTTCTATATATTGTACACTCCATTCAAATTTCAAAAATTCAAAATAAGACCATGACCAGGCAGCGACCAGTTTTCGTCGGGCGGCGGTCAGACGCTGTCCCCACTACGGCACTATGGCACTACTGCCACGAAACGAAGCCACGCCCATGCGCACAACTCTGCCGCCTGGCCTCGGTCTTATTTTGAATAGAGTATGCTCACTGCTCAGTGTAGATTTTGCACCTCTGTCTAGAGCATGGCCGTACGGGGCATCGCTGAACTAATTTCTCAAACATCAAATGTACATTTCCATTAAACAATTGAACAGCTTGAATTTATTTATAATAATTGGTTGAAAGGGCATGAGGTATCAGTTCAAGTGTTAGGTAATTATGCAATGTTATTTGATATATATTCATCAATAAATTGTATTAATAATATAAATTACTGTGTAGATGTAGATGATGTTTATGGGTGTTGTTGAGGACCTAACCTTCTAATTTGACTTCATTTTTTATTTTAAAAGAATATTTACAATCTATACAACAGTGAACAGACGAGGTATAATGAGTAAGTGTGGTGACATAGGAACATTAGACATAAATATAACATAATAGGAAGGCTCCCAGCAGTACCACCTGACCAGAAATAAAGAGGACAAACCTATAATTATGATTTATGGAGAATGATCAGTGGCGTATTTACGGGGGGGGGGGTCCCGGGTCTGGACCCCCCCCCAGAAAAAAATATAATATAATATAATTATTACATCGTAACTCGTATGTGTTTTTTTTATATTATAAACTTGTAGGTACCTAATATTTAGACCCCCCCCACAAAAAATTTCAAAATACGCCACTGAGAATGATATTATGGATGCTGTTGAAATTGTAGACTCGGAAAATTGTAACAGTCAGTGACCAGAGTATAGATGCTATAATAATCGATCATTAATTATTCATATTAATTAGTATGGGCCAAGATAGATGAATCTGTTTTTTATTTTGTAACGTTTATATAATATTTATTCCGCAGCAAAAAAAAAGTCACTTAACTAACGCGGCTCACGACCACCACTTACCTTGCAACGCTTGTACGAATGGCGGACAATTTCCCCCCGGACATTTCCCCCCCGACTGTTTTTGGTGTAGTAGGACATTTCCCCCCCAATATATATTCGATGCGGACATTTTCCCCCCACTTTTTTTTAAAGTTTATTATTTATTATTTAATAAGAAATTATTTTTTTTCAGTAAAATATAATTTTTTTTATAAATATAATCAATTATACTATAATTACCTATTATAGTAGATATATATTTTTGATCAATTCAACTACTTAAAACAATAAAACAATAGTAATATTATATTTAAAAGATTGTCTAAATAAAAAATAATAGTACTAGACTACTGTATTATTCGCTAGTAACATTGAAATCATGTTTGTCATTATGGCGATCTTCACCAATATTTCCTCCTTATTTATGGAATGCACATAATGCTACAAAGAAAAACAGGTAGAACAAATAATATAAGTGAAGGTTTCAATAACAAATTTAAAACTTTGGTTAGAACTCAGCATCCAAATATTTGGATGTTCATTGAAGCACTACAAAAGTCAAATTCAATGGCAATTAATAAACTATTAAAATTAAAACAGGTACGGTTTTTTTAACAAAAAAAAAATAAACATGAAAGACGATTACAAAATATGTGCTTAGATATAAAAAAAGAATCAGAAATTAAATGTTTTTTACAAAATATATCATTTTTATGTCGAAATTTTTAACCTATTTTACTTATATACAATTTTTTTATGTCTTATTATATTTATGAAAAAAAAAAAATGAAATTGTTAACCTATTTTACTTACCTATGTACAATTACTTTACGTTTTTATTATATTTATGAAAAAATGGGGGGAAAATGTCCGCATCGGAACATTTTTCGGGGGGAAAATGTCCTACTACGCCAAAAACAGTCGGGGGGAAAATGTCCGGAGGGAAATTGTCCGGATACCGCTTGTACATCTTAATTTTTTTTTATTTGATATTATTAATAAATTCACTCACAAATCTTTTTTCTGGATAAAATCATTAAAAACAATACTACAAACGGTTATCTATCGATCTGCAGTCTAACTTACTTTCATTTTTTGGATTAATTAATAATAACGAACTGCGAACTAACAAACATTTTGAACGTCAGTACAATATTCTACAAATGTATTACAAACTATTCATTACACACACTATTATTATTTAAATCGTTTCCGGCTAATCACATGGTAATAAATCAAACAACTCGACCAAAATATGTCAACAAACGCTGGCATGTGTATTTATTTGCATAGGTCACAATAACACATGTGTATGGTATATATATATATATACTGCAGTACGAGGAGCATGGTAAATACGCGTGTTGTGGTATCTTAACGCAACGTGTTATAGGAGTCGAAGAAATAGCAATACCAAATTATGATAATTGAATCCGCTGTTCAGAGAGACGCTGTTATAACGATTATAATACGATTATTGTAAGGGATGATTTAAAACGCGTGGCTTGTATTTGGAGTCCATTAGTGGCACAAGATAGCATAATATATAAATGCGATATACGTGATCATAGTAATAATATTATATAGAATTCGTAGGTAGGTACTGATCGAAACATTGGTGAGTGGTAATGCGAGTCTAAAATGTCGAATGCACACTAATTGGTATATGCAATATAATATTATATATTATATAAGTACAGACTACAGGGTATTATAATCTGGGCACTCAAGTCTCAAGCAAACAAATTTTTGGTGTACGAAAATTTTTTTGAAAAACGATAATTATTTAAATACTTTACGATAATATTAGTTTGAGAGTCTGGCAACACTGGCGCCGCCCGTTCGCTTTTTTATTTCCTCACTACCATAAACCCTATCTTAAACCGTGGTATGATTTAAGGTTGTGGTCGTAGATAGTCTTTATTATCTATGGTTGTGGTTTGAGGAAAAAAT